TTGTACCCTTTTGAAAGACAAAGGAGAGCATGATGTCAAGAGTATTTCACAAATGAATATTTTCTTTTTTTGAATTTTGATATCCATGGTAGTATTCTGACTTTATGGAAAACACTATGGTGTTTGGAAATTTACCATCCCTTGGCAATCTGACAAATCTAAGCCACGTGTGCACATGTGCACACACATCTAAGTGACATGTGCACATGTGCACACACACACACACACACACACACACACACACACACACACACACACATACCCTTTACATCTCTCAGCTGTTTCTTTAAGAAATACACTAGTAAAGTAACACGATATCTTTTGCTCACAGTGTATTGGCTGAAATACTAAATCCAAAGGAAATTGCCCTGGAGAGCACATTTCTTTGTAGAGATGACAAAAATATTCGGGAGACCAGTGTTTTCAAGTTGAACTTCCTTGTTGAAATTCACTTCACAGTCTAAAGGAAAAAGGGAAATAAAGACTTAATTTTTAATAAAGTAATAAAACTGTTGGAAAATATTCAGTGATAGAAGTAGTTCCAAGAATTATAGGTATATATAAAGGCAAAAATACTGGAGTATCAAATTTATTTCTAATTCTTAACTGTTCATGCTCTTGAATCTTTTACTCTTTTATCTATAAAACAAGCCCTAAACCTGAAATTGTGCTGGGGAAAATTACAGACTAATTGGGTTGCAATCTAGCTCCTCCATTTGAGAAATTCAAATAACAGCTCCCACTTTTATTTAAAAACATTTTGTTAAGCCATTGAAATTCTTATACAATTTTACTTTCTTTTTTCTTAATTCTGGAAAGTTTAACTTTTAAAGAAGCATTACGATTTTTAAAAATTGTTTGATATACTTGCAAAGTGCTTTGATCAGTTAGTTTGAAATGGATTCCCCTTGCTTGTTCTTTTGGCAAAAGCCTGGCACTTTTCCACATTTCACAGAAAGTGAACTGCCCTTCTTCCTACAAAATAGAGCATGGAGGCGAAAGCATTTTTCATAAGAAAAGGGGCATTCAAAGTAATACTTTTCTAAGCTTAATAAAGGACAGTTGTGGCTGAAAAGCTACAATGATGTCATGTAAGTTTTATCTTGCATAAGCAGCAGAGTGAGGAAATTCCAGAATTAATAAGTGTGCTGGTACAGCTGTGCCCTCAGTTGAAAAGTTCAGGGTGTTCTTTTCATACTCACGACTGGACATTTTGCTCCATTTTAGCCTTTGCAAGAATAATTGGCTCCCTCCATTTCGAAGCTGCTAAAACATTTATAAATGGGTCTATTTAGAAAGTGTAAAATTTAAGTGGATGTAATAAATAGTCATTTTGATTAAAAGTTATTGTCTATATTTGGGTTGATTTTATAATAATCAGTTAGCTACTTTTAATTGTCCTTTCAAATATTAAGAGATAGAAAATACTAACTTTGAGAAATTATTAAAGGAAATAGAGTTAAAAGCCAAGGATGAAGCAGGGCGTGGTGGCTCACGCCTGTAATCCTAGCACTCTGGGAGGTCAAGGCTGGAGGATCGCTCAAGGTCAGGAGTTGGAGACCAGCCTGAGCAAAGCAAGACCCCGTCTCTACTAAAAATAGAAAGAAATTAGCTGGACAACTAAAATATATATAATTAGCCAGGCATGATGGTGCATGCCCGTAGTCCCAGCTACTCGGGAGGCTGAGGCAGGAGGATCGCTTGAGCCCAGGAGTTTGAGGTTGCTGTGAGCTAGGCTGACTCCGTGGCACTCTAGCCTGGGCAACAGAGCCAGACTCTGTCTCAAAAAAAAAAAAAAGCCAAGGATGGTCTTTTTAGCCATAGTCCTAATTATTAATGTAGCTCTAATTGTTATCTAGAGGGCAGTTGGACAGCTGCTCATCAGTCCTACCCATGAGATAAGAGGAAATGGGCTTAAATAAAATAGGAGCTATAATTTCATGACCCAGAAGTGGGTTGAACAGAATAATGGAAATTGAGAGAGTTTGCTCTAAGGTTTTAAAAAGTAGAAAATGTTTTCATTTGAAAGAAAGGTTTTGGTATGTTACTCAATATTATACAAGATGATTTCTTTCACCCTTATGGTTATTAGTGTCAATCATTTCTTTCCTCTTTCTTTCCCCTTCTTTCCCTCTCTTTCCCCTTTCAGGGGGAAAAAGGGAAAGCTATATAGATCAAAAGAGTGTACAATGCTGAGCAGAAATGAGCGGGTCTAATCAGAGTATACTTTTGTGTTTCTCTTATTTCAAAATTAAACACATGCAGGCCTACCACAGTGGCTCATGCCTGTAATGCCAGCACTTTGTGAGGCTGAGGCAGGGGGATTGCTTGAGGCCAGGAGTTCAAGACCAGCCTGGGTAACACAGCGAGACCCTGTCTCTACAAAAAAATTTTGAAAGTTAGTCAGGCATGGTGCATGCCTATAGTCCTAGCTACTTGGGAGACTAAAGTGAGAGGATCACTTGAGTCCTGGAGTGCCAGCCTGGATGATAGAGTGAAAATCTGTTCTCTTAAAATAAACAAACAAACAAACAAATATATATATAATGTATTCACTTGTTTTATTTACTTTGCTTTCCACAGTCTGAAGATTCAGCTTTTTATGATTATGAGTGCTTGTATGACTTTGAATAGTGACTCTAAAAGTACTCAATTTATAGTTATATTTTCCCAAAACTACGATAATGAAGTTTTTAAGTTATTTTGTCTAAATTTAATAAAATAGTTTAAGGCTGAATTTTATTCTGAAAGAGAAGTTGCAAACCATGAATTCTTAGAACATATATTTTAGAGCCAGACTCACCAAGTTCTTCCAATTATGAGCTAGGCCTATTTCAAGTCATATTAGTTCTCTGAGGCTTACTTTTTAAAATATAAAATTCAGATTATTTGTAATATCTTCCTTATAGAATTATGAAAATAAAATAATATTAATTATATATGTATACTTTATAAGGCAATAAGTAGAGTACCTGATATTTAGTAGTTCATCAACAAATATTATTTTCATTCTTTCACTTTTTCTTTTAATATTCTTTCTTTTTTCCATATTTCATATGTACAAAAGCAGGTGGAAAAAATGCCACAGTCTTTCTGTTGTTCTAAAGAGACTATCATATTTCTTATGACTTTGAAAACTTTAGCTGTTTTTCAGGTTAGTGGAAAACCCATTCACAATTCCTTTTGCATTCTGAATTGTGTAGCAACCAGAGTGAAATTTTGGCATTTCTAAAGGTGTCAGTGGAGAATTAATAAAGACTTCCAGGAAAGAAAGAAATGCAATAGTGAACAGAGGGTTATTTCTTCTATTTCTACCTAATCTTAAAAAAAAAAAAAAAAGCACCTGAGATTTTCCCTTTTTAAATACTCTTTTATGATACTGGGGAGTATTGTTCTATAGCTAACATATTTAATTACTGGACCCCTTTCGGTGGTTGGCAGAATGGTGCCACCAATCTTATAGTTTGGTGACGGTTGATATAATACAATAAAATTTCAGTTTCATTAAAAAGAGTGACTCATTTCATGATGCTAATAAAGAACTAAACCATTTCATCAAAATACATAAAAAATATGAATAATTTTTTATTTTTTTAAATGGACAAAAATATAGCATGATGGGGGCCTCATAAGTAGACTTTATTACAGATGCCAACATTATTATTTTAAAACAGGTAAATACCAAAACTTATAAATAAAATTAAGATGTCTTAAAGACATATTTTAAATTATACAAATACTCTACAATGACAATATGTATAAATACAATACTTTGCCACTGTTATTTTTTACGGTTTATATTTTTATAACCAGTTTTTTTTAAAAATTTTTCTACTTACAAGTCCAGAAGATGATTTAAAACCACCACTAATTCCTACACTACATACATAGATTCTTCTGTAAATATGTAATGTTGCTACTTGGCATTTTCGTGACTATACACTATCCTTTCTATCTCCTTAGCTTAATCTGGAAGACAATTTTCTACGGATGAGACATTTCTTCTCTCCTATAAACACCTATTACAGAACTCTTAACTGAATTGAAATGGGGGGAATTGCTATTTATTTCTACAAGTTCCATTTCATATACGTCGTCAGTCATATTTTAAAATATATCTATAACTTTATACTAGTTTAGTTTGAGTCTTTTATATCAATATATTACATATATCATGATAGATGTGTGCTACATTGCTTTCAGATCCTTTTGTGCTCTTCTATTTCTTGTTTTTGTTTGTGTTTTATAGCGTTTACTCTCTAGTACTTGAGAATTTGAACAGGATTTAAAGATTCAGCAAAGAAAGCATGCAATTCAAACTACGTACTCTTTTCCTTTTGTCACATACATATATTTATATGTACATTAGCGTGTATTTTATTTGTTCTTACTCTTCTAAAAATGCATACATAAAGTTGGACCTAATGAATGCACAGCATTGAGATTCATGGAACTTGAATTCTGAGCACATCTTGACCATTAAAACTGTGGGCAGTATGATATTCCTCGAGTCATCATCTCTCAGTCTCCTTTAGAGAGAGCTATATTTGTTTAGTGTTAACTAAACAAATATAATAGCCCAGTTGAACTCTGGAGAATATCGTTCAGAATGATTACCTAATGATTTAAAACACATTGAAATATATAAAGCACTTTAGAATTCCAAGAATGACTAGTACAAATACATCTACACATACTATTTTATCATGGTGGCCAGAAAGGACACATCCAACCTTTTTCTCCATCAATAACATTTGTATGTCGTCATCATCTTCTATAGCTTTCACCCCTTATAAAAATCTCTGAATAAGTCTACACATCTTGCACCATATTTTGATTCTAGATTCCACTCGAAATACTTATTCTGGAATAAATCGTATTAAACAAAAATTGAAATCTTTTGTTGTCAGTTACTTTTCTGTCTGAACTTTCACAACAAAAAGTGCGGATTGTTTAAACCAGGTGGAAACAAAACCATGAATGAAGACAAGTCAATTATGAGTTTTTTAAAATAAAATTTCTAATTGTTTATTGGTATTTGATCTGAGATTGAAATTAAATGCCATAAAAGGAAAATTTCTAAGTTGCTATTAAATTATTGCTACTAATGAAAAATGTTAAGTGGCTTTGACAGTAAGAATAGTAAAACAGCAACTTTTATATTTGGAGGTTTCCGTGGCACATACAGCTTTCTTTTCACAGGTCTTCTGATTCTGGTATGGTGGTATCTTCTGTAGGTTCAGTTGTTATCATTATAGGAATATGCTCAGATATCCATCCCTTTGGAGTCCTATTAAAGGACCGTCTGCCAGAAAGGGGATTCGTAAAGGCCATGAACCTGGGATCTGTTAGCAGTAGTAGCTCAAAATCTGGAACTTTAAATTTAACAGCTTTTGATGCTTTTTCAAAACCTCCAAATGGGGTAGCAACTCTGTGGGAAATGAAAAGAAAAAGAAAATATCAATTAATATTTAAAGTTATTTGCCAGAAAAGAGACAATAATTTGATTCATGATCTTATGGACGTGATTTTATGGGCATGTTTAATTCATGATTTTATGGACATTCTTATAATCTAAGTATGGTTTTCAGCTTCTGACCTCTGAGGCAAGCATTTCCATTTAAGGACTATGCTTTTGTGATAAGACAGATAATGGTTACGAATTCATGTAAAACTCGATTCTACTCTTAGTTTTGGACTAAACTATTCTATTCCCGTACCCTGTTCTCATCACAAACATTTCTTGCCTCTGGCCTTTGCTAGCAATGTTTCTACTATGTAAGACACTGCCTCCCTGCCCGAGACCTCCCCACTTGGGTATGTCCTGTGTCCTCTCAGTTCTAACTTCCCTCCAGCTGTCCCAGCCCACACTCCCTAGGCCAAATTCCAGTAACATCAGATGTTTTAGGTTGGTTCATTTGGCACTTATAATATACATGGTACTTTGTATCATCAATTCCTCTTTTTAAGAATATAGTTTGATTTGTCTGTAAATTATGAATTCTGAGGGCAAGAAGTATTTCGTTTGCATCTTTCTATCTCCACCTCAAAAACCTCAGCATCCTCCCATCTGTCCTCTGAATAAAATCCAGCTCTCTTGTCTTGGCATTCAAGAGCCCACATGACTTTCCAGCTTTATTTGAATTAGGCATTTACTTATTCATTCAGTGCCAGACATGGTTCCAAGTGAACAACACAGTCAGTCTCAGCTCTTATGTTCTAGTGAAGGAGACAGACAATTAACAATCATAAACATATACAAAAACATCTAATAGTGGTAAGAGCTACGCAGAAAGTTAAAATAGGGTGATGTAATAACAAATGGATGGATGACAAGATAGTTACTTTAGATGGAATCATCAGGGAAGACTTCTCTGAAGAGTGACATTTAAACCACCATCTGAAGATCAGAGGTTGGCTGTATACAGTATGGCTAAAGCACATCAGCATTTCTGATATAGAAAATAGCTAATGCAAGGCCCCCATGGCAGAAATAATGTTGGCATGCTCAGGCAAAGAAAGAAGGCTTATGTTGCTGCGCTAGTAGGCAAGGGTGGGGCAGAGGGGAGAAGGGACAGAGAGGTAAGTTGTGTGGGGCCTTTTCCAAATAAGGAATGTGGGTTTTCTTCTATGGATGAAGGAAACCATTGTAGGGTGTTAAGCCGAGGAGTGATATAATCTAATTAAATTTTATAAAGATCATTCTGGCTGTTTTTGTATGAACAGATTATAAGAAGACAACAGTGGAAGGAGGGAAGATAATGCAGCAATTAAAGCAAGAAATGATGGCTTGGATTTCAGGTGTTTTCTGTGTAGATGGAAAGAAGTGGGTGGTTTTGGGATGTTTAAGAAGTAGATTGATAGGATTTGCTGATAAATGAAAGTAAAATTAGGAGAAAGAAAGAGAAATCGAGGATAACTTCTAGGTTTAGAGTTTTGTCAACTGGCTGGTGGAAGTCTGAGAAAAGAGCAGGTTTGGTGTGTGGGTGGAAAACACAACCTAGGCATCCCAGCGGAGAGAGCTCAACTGATCTACTGAGAATCTGAGGAAAGCACGCCAGGTGAAGGAAACAAGGATAGAGGCCCCAGGGTGGGAAGAGTCTATTACTCATGGAACAGAAAGAAGGCCAGCATGGCTAGAGCTGGGTGAGCTTGAGGGAGAGCCATAGATATGCCTGGAGACAGACAGGGTCCAGAACTGTAAGGTCTTGTAGGCCTTGATAACAAGTTTGGATTTGATTTTATGTGTTATAGTTACAAGGCTTTTAGCAGGAAGGGGATACGATCTGATTTTCATTTTTAAATGGTCCCTCTCTGGTTGTTAATGGAGAATAGCCTAAAGCAGTGCAAGAGTGAAGGCACCAAGTCCAATCTGAAATCTTTGCAGTAATCAAAGTAAGAAATGATAGCATCATGGATGAGGGGAGTAGCTGTAGAAGTCTTGGGAAGTTACTGAATACATTTTGAAGGTAGGGTTAACAGGACTTTGCTGATGGGATGGTATATGAGGGGAAAAGTGGAATTCAGGGTAAGTCCTAGGTTGTTTACTTGAGCAAGGGAGAGTATAAATATGCCATTTGCAGAGATGAGGCAAATTGGAAAAGGAACTGGTTTAGGGCTGGAAATAAAAGTTTCATCTTTATACGTTAATGTTTACATGTTTGTTAGACCTCATACGGGTAATGTCCAATAGAAGGCTGAAGCTCAGGGAAAGGTTCAGGGCTGGGTATAACACTGGCATTAATAGTGAGTAGATGTATTTAATACCTTGGAACTGCATACAATCACAGCTCAGAATGAGCAGAAATAGAAGGTGCCCCACCATTTAGAGTTTGGAAAGGGAGGAGCCAGCAATGAAGGCTGAGAAGGAGGAAGATCTGAGGAGTTTGGTGATCTAAAAGCCTAGGAACAAAATTATTTCTTGGGAGAGGGAATAATCAATCTTGTCATATACTGCTGTGAAGTTGAGTAAATTGGTAACTGAGAATTCACCATTGGAGGTGATAACACAGGGGTTAGCTCTTCAAGTGGAGTGGTAGGATGCAGTACTGTTGAAATGAGTTCAACAGTAGAGAATGCAATGTTAGGAAATAGAGACAACAATTACAGATGATTTTTGAGAAATTTTTACAATCAAGAAAAAGCATAGGAATTGGAGGTAATTGGAAGGGAGTCTGAGGAAAAGAGAAAATGTTTATTTAAGAGAGGATACATTTTAATATGTCTGTATGCTGATAGTAATAACCCAGTAGAGGGAGAAAAATATTGATGCAAGCAAGAGAAGTGATAATTGTAGGATAAGCTTAGAGTGGATGAGGGGATAGAAATCAATATGCACTTAGAGGGGCTGACCTTAGGAACAAGACAGGCAACTCCTCGGCTTATTTTTTAAGAGAAAAAGATAAGAGTTCAAATGCACTCAACTGGCAAATGGGAAGCTGAGGTAGGTCTCTTTCAATTTGCTTCCACTTTCTCAGGGAAATAACAAGTGAGGCCATTGCTTGAGGATGAGGAGTGGGTGAGGGTATTGGATATTTGGGGAGAGATGAGAAGATGTAAATTGTCTAGGAAACTGACAAACCGAATTGGCTAAAGAATGTTGTTGGATTGGCTGACAGTGCTGACATTTGTGGTCATCAATTTAAGATGAGACAGTCAGCAAAATTACGTGTCTTTCTCCAGACATTCAGCTGCTCAAATGCAGGTGCAGAGCAGACAGATTCAGGACTCGCCCAGAATTGGAGCTTTAGCAGTTGAGTACAACAGCTGGAGAGAGAAGCAAGGGAGACAAAGCTTATGCACAACGGAGAGATGGTAGTGAGGGACTATGAAATCTGGAAAAGTGTGGTCAAAGGGATTGATGGACTTTGAAAAAATGAGATGGCTTTGGTAGATGGAACTGTAACATTATTGAAATAAAGAATAAATGAAAAGTAAAGACATAAGGTGACAGACTAGAATACTCAATATTGAGATTTTAGTGGATTGCTTTTCCCCTTTTGATCCAGTTCTGTTTTGTTTTCTCCTACCAATTTGTGGGTCATTTTCTTTTCTCGTAAATGAAAACATTCCCTTCCGTTCCACCACCCATCTCCTGCCTCCTACCACATATCCAGTGAATGGCTGCTGTTTGGAAAAGAGAGGCTTTTTTTCTTTTCTTTGGCACCATTAAGACTACATCCTGTTTGTTTGGATTTTATTGCTCCCAACACAAATTAAAGAGAGGCCATTAACAGAGATGTTAAGCACTGAATGTGAGAGACTATTTGTTAAGATTTTTAAGGCCTATGAAAATAGTTTGGAGTTTTAGTTAAAGTTAGTGAAGCAAACATTTCCACTGAAAATTTTGGAATATGCTACTGAAAGACAATTGTGCATATCTCTAATTCCCATAACATAAATCCTTCAAACATAAGTCTGACTTAAAATGATTTCTCCATTTTGTCATCTAAGTATTGAATAATAAGCCTGTTTCACTCAAATGCACAGTTAACAGATGCTTTCTTCTTTATTTTAATGGATCAGTGATGGAATTGCATTTGTAAAAATGAATAGCACTGGACATATAATACACCCATAATCATTACTAATTATTCTATAAGGTAAAGAAGTAGGCAAAATGATTGTGTAGAAATTAAAATATAGTATTCTACTAAATAGCTAGTGAATGTACTATATTTAAAGGTACTTAATATAAACATAGGATTTATTTTGCAGATGAGGAAATGAAAATTAGGAAAGGCGAAATAACATACTCAAAGTCCTACAGCTTTTTGAAGCAGAACTGGGAAGCTCCTTGCTTTTTATTACTTTTTATATGTTAATGGGTTTAATAGAGTACTATTTGAATATAGCATAAAATATGAACATACTTAAAAGGAGTATAAAAATTCAAAGTTGAATTAAATTCTGGGTTATTTTGAAATTGTGATTAAACTTGGGAGACAAATTTTCATCCAGTTGTTAAATCCTATTAGACTGCATCTTACCCTTATTAACAATATCTAATAATTACATGTAATAATGTGGGATACCAAACAGTTTTATTTTACTCTTTGCAAGAACTTCGGAAATATCTGGAAACTGCTTATTTCTCTCTCTGTTTCTCCCATTTTTTTATAATGAAAAAAAGATATAGCAGAATAAAGTCAATGTAATATGTTGAATTATTTAATAAACAGAAAAGAAAATAAAACTTACCACATTTTATTTTAAAATATATTTGTATAATAATGTGTGACAAATTATTTTCTCATAATTGTGGTCAAATTATTTTCTCATGATTTTGAGCAGTTTGATAAAATAAAATTCTATTAACCTACAATAGGGAAAATAGTAACCCATTTTATACCTAGAAATTATTTTAACCTCTATTTTAAGTGACTAGATTGTGTTCTTGGCTAATTCAAAGAATGGCTTTCGTCACATTTA